TGAAAGGCACCGGGGAGGGGCTGGTTTAGGAAAGCCTTTATTTATCCCGGTGACGTACAGGACTGACAGCAGTGGAAATTTCCTGGTGCTCTGGGCCAGTGCCTGGATCTCGTCTGAAACCATCTCTGAGGCTCAGAGCATTATCCCTGTGCAGCTCTCCCAAGCCTACCGAGATGGGACGAATTGCTGCTCTTCTGAGAATGTTTTCCTGTGCTTTAGGTGGTTTTCCCCCGTTATCCTCTTCAGAGGTCACAGAGCAGCAGTGGCAGCAGCAGTTGCTGCACACGTGGGTGGATTCAGGTGGATTCCCAGGATGGGCTTCAGTCAGGTACTGAGAATCCTCCCATCTTCTGTCTGCCTGGAAAATTGTGGCATTAAATCTGATTCCTACATTGTAGCAACCAAATGTTTCAGCCTCACAACTCTGTCTGTGTGGCAGGAACGGCCCTGGAGGTTTTTTTCCTGTTCCAACCTGCTTGCCTCACTATTGCTGTTTTAAGATCCTCCCCACAGACACTAGTAAGGGTTTAAGACCATCCTGCTCATGAGAATCCCAATGAGAATTTCCATTCGGGGTCCAGAAAAAACTTTATTAACACAGTTCTTTCATCCCCAGTGTGTCCAGAAGTGCTTTTCTGAAGTGATCAGAAACTTGTCTTCATAGCTGCACAGATTCTTTTCATGGCTGAGAGTAAAATGCAATGAGCTTGAAATATTGCTGCATAGAGCTCAGCAGCCAGCTTCTCTCTAAATTAAAGAGTCCATTTTAAAGAATAATAATAAAAAAATAATTAACACAAGAATGCATGTTTGCAGCCCTATTAGTCAGAAGCAAGTGAGGTAATGAGGAAGATTAAAATCAGTGCTGGCCTTTCCTCTGAGAAGTTTATGGGCATTTAATGAATTTAAATGGGAAAAGGAAGCTGGTAATTGAATTGTTAGTTAGAACTTTATTCAGCAGGGAGTGAGTGATTTCTGTTGGCTTTCACTGCTGTGCTCCCCTTTGTCACCTCAGCCTGTGTGCTGGGAGCACTGGATCTGTATTTATGTAACTGGGAAAACATGAGAAGTGTGTTATTGATTCCATTGATTGGAAACATGTAATTAGCACCGAAAAAAAGATGAGCTGGATGGGAATCGTGTAATGCTCAACAATTATAAGGGAAAGTGTGAGGAAAAAAAGGGATTCTCACTGGAATCTCTGACTGGGTGATTTACATCAGTCCATACAGAGAACAGCAAAGTGAGCCCCAGCCCACACAGCTGGCAGGGAAAATGCTGCAACCTGAATTAATTTTCATTAAAAAGGTGTGTGAACCAGCAGGAGGAACAACTGCAGCTCCCTGCAGATGGAAAGGGCAGTGGTAGGAAGGCACCAGCAGGGAAAATGCTGCAAATTGGTGCTGTGGAGAAAAGGCAAATGAATTTACCCTGTCAGCTGTGGGAGGTTGCTCTTTATTGTAGGCTGTGTGTAGCTAATGTGTACGGGCCCTTGTGGCTTTGGGGGTTGTTAGTTTGGTTTGGGTTTAGCACCTGAAAACCCTTGGAAACTACTGGAAAAATGTTACGACTGTGAGCTCTCTGGCCACTGACATCCCTGCAGAGAAACCCAAAGGAACTTTTCCCTCCTCACAAAGGTCAGCCCGCTCGCCACGAAAACAACAGATGTTGAAAGGGAGCCATTGGAAGATGCAGGATTTCAACTGGCAGCAGGGGAAGATGGGTTGCCAAAATGTGTCTTTGCTTTGTGTTTCTGAAAGCCTCCGTTCCTCCTCCTGGGAGACATCCCCGTTTGGCCCCTGCACAGACACACTCGGTTACATTTAATCTGCTGTGGCGCAATCGGAAGGCTCGGGCTCAAAAAAACCTGGCCTGTGGAGCAGATCCAGAGCAGTTGGCCCATGGAAAGCTCTGCACTGCTCTGCTTTTAGCACTACTGGGGATTTTGGGGGGTGTGTCAGCGAAGGAATCAGATGAGGCTCTTTTGCAATGGGGATTTGGCCCCTGGAATTCCCAAATGCGGGGGTTTTTTGTCTGTGTGTGAGCATCCCAGTAACTAAAGGTACCTCACAGAACCCCGTGTGCACAAGGAAAGTTTAAGGAAAAAGAGATTACGGTAAAAGGGATCTGTGGGAATAACTGAAAAGGCAGAATTTCAAGGACAATGGGAGAGCAGATGTGAGCTCTCACTGAGGGTACGGGATGGTTCCCAAACTCTATAATTACTTTGTAATAAGTTGTACAGGATCCCGTTTAATTATGGCACATACGTGCAAAGAAAGGAGAAGCATTTTGTGAATGCAGTGGCCAGAGGAGGAGAGTAATTGAAATGTTAATTCTAATCATATGCTATGCTCATGCATTGATTTTTTAATTCGTGTTATCCATTAATTAGTTAATGCCTGTAAAGCACACTGAAGATAGAAAATTACTGTGGACTATTGTTACTGTCGTTATGCACTAAGTTAATTAGTTCCTGCAGGTTTTAATCGGATTATTGAGATGTAAACTTGGGGAATATGATTCCGGAGCAAAGGCTGTGCTCGGAATGGTGGCCGAGGGAGCAGCTGCAGTGCCCATGCACCCAGATCAGGACACTGGCTGCCCTGTGCACATCTTCTTAGAAATCTTCTTAGGCTGGGCCTGTGTGAGCTTCCCTCTGCCCTGGAGTGCTCTGTGGTTAAGCCCAGCCTAGCACACGTTCAGCCCGGCCTGGTGATGGGGTTGCTGCAGAAGGGGCTGTCACGGTGCTGAGCAGTGATTTATGGCCCTGGAAGATGAGGAACAGGAAGATTAGAGCACAAAGATGAGAAGATTCTCAGTTTCCCTGTGGGGCCAGCACATTTCTGTCACCCTTTGAAGAAGGGGAGTTGTCTTTAAACCAACAGTATCTTTACCAGGATCTGGTTGTAGTTTTTTCCTTTTTTCTTTCTCTGTCTGTAATCATGATGAAACCTGACAACTTTGTCCTTCCTTCTTGTCCCAGCTTTGGAAGGTTGTATGGAAAATAACTGTTTCTATTCAGCCTTATTTATTTATTTATTTCAAAAGAGCTCCTTTTGGGGGAAGCATCAACACCTGATCCTCTTGGAAGAAAACCTCTGGGAGGTTTTCCTTTCACTTTGGTCCAAACTACTTCCCCCTGCCCCTGTGCAAGATCAGGGATATTCTGGGTTTGTGTCAAGTTGAAAATCCCTAGTTCCAGAGCCTGCTTTATTTCCAAACCACTCATTTCTCAGCTGCAGATCTTCCCGTGGCTGCAACAAGGCTTTGGGGTCTGCATTTTTGCTGAATGTTTTGTTTGTAGTGCTTATAAGACCCTCTGTTAAAAAAATCACCGAACAAAACATAAAACCATTACAGTGGAAAAAGGAATACAAATACATTTGCTCTTTTATAAAAGACATTTATCAAAGTCCAATCAGCTGGGATTTTCTGGTACATGGCTGACTTGCAAAATTCCTTTTGCAATGTAAGGAAGCACCACTTGGATTACTGCAGCTGTAAGAGGATTCCAGTTGACAAGAGAAAAGAACAGGCAATGTGATTTTTTTTTTTCTTAATTTTTTTTTTGTTACCTATTTCCCTCTTCTAACTTTGTTTCTGTGGTTTTCTCTGTGCCAAATGTCAGCCTACTTTTAGAAGGAGGTCAGGAATAAGGCTGATAAACAAGTATTTGAGCAGGGTACCAGTCCAGTATTCCTTGCCAATAATGGAAAGTCACATATTGGTGAGTTTTGGGACAAATTCTAAAATATCACTGCTGTCTGCTTCCATTGCACTGAGTTCCTGGTAATAGCAATAAATTCCTGCTCTGCTTGAAAACCCAAACGAGCCCAAACCCCCCTCGTTTCGATGCCCATCTATTGGTGCAGCAGCAGTTCCCAGAGCTGGTGCTTCTCCTCTTGAATTGATTCCATAAAAATAGCTCAAAGGAGGATGCTTAGATTAGAAATCCTGATTTGGGTGCTCATTTCTGGTTTGCTGCTACTGTTCCTCAGCAAACAGAAGTGTGTATCATTGCAACAGGGTGTTGTAATGATGCAGTGTGTAATGTTTGGTTAGCACTGGATAGAAGAGTTCACTTGCCTAATATATCGAACACAGCTTAATTAAATATTTAATGGATTTTTCCCGCTGCGAGGAATCAGCAGAATAAGTAAGGAGTGTGTTCCTGGAGATGAAAGTTGCAGAGGAAGGTGATCTGTGGGGATCACTGTCCATTCAATAACCTCATGAGCTGCCTTCCCAATTACTGTGCTCCTTCCCTCCCAGTGTGCTCTTGTGTACATTAATATGGATAGACATATAACCAGGAAGGACTTCAAAGTATCACTGCCTGCCTTTGCTGAGCTGGCAATAAAGTTGTGCTTTGGTCCTCCATTAGTTGGGTGTGAGTGTGGGTTTGCAGTGAGAAATGCCCATATATCAGGTGGGACAGTCATATTTAACTGTATAACTATATATATAACTATAATTGTGCCCCTTCCCCTGCACTTTGCAGGAACCAGAGGTCTAAGGTGCAGCTTTTAAATTCTAGGGGCAATTTCTAGGAGCAACAGCTTTTCTTGTTTTTCTCATCAAAAATAATCTGTGAATAATAATTAAAAAAAAATTACAAAAGGGGTCTTCTCCTCTGTGTTGCCTTCACTGGGCACTTCCCCTGAGAACCAAAGAACATTTTGGATAAGCCCAAAGGGCTCTGAGTTCCAGCTTCTTCCTCTGTGTTATTAACTCGTTGCACCAGGTCGCTGTGAGGAACTGCCAGTGAACTGGAGGCCCAGGGTTTGTTCAGATGTGTGATCTGTACTCTAAAAAATATTGCACTGGTTTTTAAACTGCTGTGGCAGCACAGGGAATACATTCCATAGGAAGTACCATGTTCTGTTTTCTACTGAAGGACCAGTGCTTGGCTGGAAAGAATGGTTTTCTTGGTGTTTTTAAGTGAGTCTAGGGAAATCTTCAAAAGAATCTGATTTTGCTTCTCTGTAAATAGGTAATCCCAGCAGAGATGGGAACACCTCAGAACAGGAAGTTTGGATACTTTGGAAATCCCTGGAGTTGTTTCCCACTGTGGAAGTTGTCGGTGTGAAGCTGCAAGGGACAGGGAGAAATCAGCTGCAGTGCCAGACCACTGGTGTCTCTGTGGTAAAGGGGTAAGTGGTGGATAAATAACCCATGATTCCACAACAGCCCACCTTACTGCAGGCAAAACCTGAATTTTGGGGAGATTTGTTGAGACTGCAGAGTCTATTTACAAAATCCTGCCCTGCCAAGGAAGGAGGTGGATATAAAAGGCCATTATGGAGCCGTGGGAAAGCCAGGATGAGTGAGTGGGTGACTGATTTAAATATTTTGGATAAACTGAGATGATTCTAAATGAAAAACAGAGTTACAAACCATTGGAGATCTGTCCCATGTACTCTTGTTGTAGATTAGTTTTATTTAAGCACACATATCTTTATAAAAAATGCAATGAGCAATCTCTTTTTCGTAAAAAGGGTTTATTAACAAATATCAATAATGCCACTGAAGAGGCAGATTCAGCAGTCTTTTCACAGAAAAAAAATCTCATAGGTTCAGGGAAATGATAGAAGAGTGTGGAGGCTTGGATGAAGAAGAGTCCTAGGGAGGAGTCCAGAAGCTCATGGGAAGTGTCCAGCATCCATCAGGGAGAGGCGTTTCCCTGTGCTGCTGCTTGCAGGCAGTGGTGCCTTTCTTCCTGGCATGGTATTGCTTAACTTCCAAACCTTTTAAATTCTTTGCCGAGGATTTATCCTGCCTTAATCTCGTTCCAATGCTTGTGCTTCCTAAGTATGTTGTAAATGCTTCAAGCTCTGTTGGTGTTTTAGGGGAGGACAGAAGTCTCCAGCTTCTGGGAGTAATCTGTGACTTGGGGATCCCAGGTTTGTCCTGGAGGAGGGACATACAACTGTCTGAAGTTTTAAAAAGCCCAATGACTAATCCAAGATGAGCTTTTTTTTATCTCCTCTCCAGATTGTTAATTTGAAAACATTTTTTCTAGTTTTCCTTTACATTTTCTCAGGGTTGGAAATGCGTGGAATTTTTTTCTCTCTCCAAAGTGTTTGTGGGATAAGAAAACAGCCTGTTAGCTAGTTGGGTTTGTTCCAAGTTGTCTGTTTACTTACCTGTGCTCAAGTCAGGAGCAAAAGGTGAGGATTCTGTCTTTAAATGTTTTGGATACGAAGGTGTCTGCACTGAAGGATTTTGCTTCTGGCCAGCTTTAGCTGGATGGAATTATCCATAATATCCCTTGTGCACTGGAAGTATCAGTCTGTTAATTCTTCTATGTACTGACACTCTGTGAACACTGTGTGAGACTCCATTAGGAAAAGTCCAATATTGAATTGTAAAATATTCCTCTGTGAATGCATTGGTGTAATTTGTGCTGGGACAGCGACTGCAGGAGTGGCAGTCAGGGTTGGAAAATGAATCCTGTGATGGGGAAAGAGCTGGAGAACATTGCAGGGGAAGCTCTACCCCTTTCCCTGGGAAATCAGCACAACTGGGATTAGACAGCAGCCAGTGTGGGTGATGCTGTGTTGGGTGTCAGCTACGGACACACAAATGATGGGTAGAACATCTAGAAGCAACTGTAACTAAAATTACTTGAACTTTTCATTTTTAAACTCCTTCCACTTCCTTCCAATTTGGGAATGACATTTTTCAAGTCTGAACTCTTCTCAAAAGTATTTTTGGAAGGTCTGAACAAAAACAGTTTAGCCATCTTTGTGTAAAATGACTGCTAGGAAAGTACTCAGCTCTGACACATTTTTGGCAGGGAGCTATTGAACAGCTTTAGGGCCTTGTTGGAAGTGTCCAAAAGTGTTTTTCAAATCATCATATAACTATTATTGGTTATAATAATGCTTAGAGACCCCGCCCAGCCCTCAGAGACTTGTGAGCAAGGCAAGCAGCAGCGAAAAGCAAGTCCTCAAGGACGTGCAGGAGAACTGTCCAGCAACAACTGGTGCACATTTGCATGTCCGGGGTGAGCAGGACCCAGCAGTGACAACGTGACCCAGCAGTGACAACGTGACCCAGCAGTGACAACGTGACCCAGCAGTGACAATGTGACACAGCAGTGACAGTGTTACTGAGCTGGCAAACCAGCACACGTGCAAATGGAAGTGTTTGTTTTGGGGCAGTTGTTGTCCTCACCGCTGATGGTGACAGCCCAGGAGCTGGGAAGTACTTGGCATTTGAGCACTCAGGTGGACTGTCTAAAAGTAAAGTTTTAAGCTTGCCAGGAGCTGGGAATAATTACGTAGCACTTCCCACTCTCGTTTTGATCTCGTTACACAAGCGTGAGCGAATGTGAAATTAGATCCTCTCCTTATAGAAACGTTCCACATCAGTTCCACTTGATCCGTTCTTGGTTCCCTTATTGGAGCTCCGTTTGTCCCCGACTTCTGAAGTTTGGCTTTGTTAAACTGTTCCCAGTGGCCATACCTGATGAACTGCCCTTTCCTGCCGGTGCCTGTGCAGTAAAGCTGTGCCTCCCGAGGACACAAATGTGGAGGTGTTTCCCATTTGTGGAGCCGTTCATCTCACATCCGTGCTTTCCATGGCACGCCACGATCAAAGGCTATGAAATGCTGCTCTGGAGAAACACTGGTGGTGCTGAGGCAAATGGACACCTTTTCCTGAAGCATTTTGATTTAAAAGTTTCTGGTCAGTTTTCAGTTAATTGTTTATTTCATGGAAAGAAATTAATTACAACTTGTAAAAACCCAACATCATATGACCTTTCAACTGAATTAGAAGAAGAAAAGCCTTAATTTGTTGCTGCCTTTTCCCCTAGCTGTTCTTTTTTAGTTGCATTTAAATAGAATATATTTGGGTATGAAAGTTGACAGCTCCTTTTTCATGGCCTTTTACTGTATTTTTGCTGTGGCTGGTCAGATGCTTTTATCTAAAGCTTTGTTCTTTGCGGTGGAAAAAAATTCCAGCGGATTTAAGAGAGTGATAGAGTTTTCAGAGAAAATAGAATTGTCACACAGTACTTGGGGCTGGTCAGGAAATGGGATTTCATGCTGGCAAAGCTCCGCGCTTTGTTGGAGCTCTTGTTGGCAGTGGTGGGATTTGGGGTTCATCCCGCAGCTCAGCCAACATTCCCACCCTTCTGTGCTTCCTGCTGTGTCACAGGGACTCTTTGGAGTGGGTGTGGTGGGTCCTGAGTAGAGCCTGGACTTGTGGGAGCAGCTCAGGTGTGATTCCCACGCCAGGACTTTGGCAAGGGAAGAGCAGGGCTGCCCTGGCTGGGTCATCCTGGGACCCAGCTGGATGGAGCCATGGGAGGCTGGAGATACCTGGAGATGGATCAGCTGAAAGAACGTCTCTGAATGCTGTTTGGGTGGGGAAAAAGGCAAAGCATGGCCCACGATGGAAAGGAGCAGGAGAACTTCTGTTGTGATCGAGGGACAGCTGGCAGCTGAAGGAAAGGATTAGCAATAAGAACAAAGGAGCAGTGTTTGATTTAACCATTCTTTGGCAACTCTTAAATTGGACTAAGAGCAGAAAGTAATCCTTGGCTAGTCTGGTCCTGTAGCATTGGCTGGGAAGTGCTGGCTGGAACAGTGATGTGGGACAGGTAGGGCACAGGTTGTGCAGCTGCCTCTGCAGAGCCAGCCCTGCTCGTGGGGCTACAGCCTAGTGATCTGCCAGCGCTGGCATTAAGTACTTTAATTTTTCCTCTCAAGAATGAGACATCTTCTTTAATCCCGCGTACTTATAAAATTGCAAAGTCGGAGGTAGCAAGGGCCCATTAGGCGAGGCAGCTCCTGTGCCCTCAGGGGATTGTTCAGGGGAACTCGGTGATTGAGAAACGGGGATTCAACCAATTACTCACCTCGTAGTCTTGGTTCATCACTCCTGCCACTGAGATCCGTCGTGTCATCTTTCTTTGCGAGCAGCATGAACGGTTTATCAAATTTCATTCTCAAATCATCTGCAAGGCAGATTTATGCAGAGCCTTTGTATCTCTAAGCAAATTGGGGAACGTGAGTCTCTCGCTACCACGCGGCCGAGTATTCTTAAGGAAGGACTATTAATAGCCCAGTCCTAGTTCCCGCGGGGGGCTCATCTCATGGCATGCGACCTCCATCTGGAGCGGGGAGCGCGCCGAGGAGCGGTGCGGGGCTGGGAGTGCCGAGGCGGTGCCG